AGTTACATGTGCATTCACTAATTGTAATGAACATTTTTTTGAAAAATAGAAATTTGTTGTATAATGCATGTTTATTTTTAGCATTGTGTTATTGCATCTGGTGTTAATAAAATGAACAAATTACTCTAATGGAAGCAATTAAAGAAACTGAAATGTTCTGCTAATTACCAAAATTCTGGGGAGGCTTTTTTGTATATAATTAATAATTTTGTATTATTTGAAATGAATATAGCAATAATAGTTTATAATGAAGTGATTTTGCATTTGGTTTGTTAATACATTCTTTGTATTTTTTTTTTCTTTCTGTAGCTTACAAGTTTCAGGTGACCACCTACAGTTCAGCAATGTACACACTTAAAAGAGTATTTTATTAGAGTTGTATTAGGCAAGTCTTTGTGACGAAGATATCTTAAATGCATTCCCATGCCAACAGTGTACCTATTTTTATTTTTTTTTTTTTTTACATTATGATGGTGCTAGTATGTGAATATTTAAATTCTGACATCTCAACTGTCTTTTGTTTCACAGTATTCTACGAGTTGGCTAGTGGCTAAATTTTTAATACCAGTTTAGGGAGCTAGATCTAAAAAATTCTCTTCAGTTCACAATGATCAAGTTAAACTACTCTTACTAAGAGTAGTTACTCTAGAGTAAGTATTTAGAATTTTGTCACTGCTGAAAATTATCTGTCTTGCTGCATCTGTCTGGAAATCCAAAAACCTAAAGCATGCTTTTGTGATTAGCAAAGCAGAAATATCCTGGCAGAAATAGCCACCTTTTTTTTTTTTTTTTTTAATAGTAGATCCCAGCCGTGTAAGGAGGCTTAAATTTGGTTTGTTCTTTGAGGAAAATGGATAGTGAAAGAAAGCACGTGATATTTGCATGTAAATTTATCAAGGAACAGGGCGAATTAAGAGAACGTTAACATACTCCCCATACTCCTGCATATTTCTGACTTGTATTTACTAGATAGAAATATGGATTCTTATATACATAATTGAATGTCATCTGATGTAGTAGCAGCTATAAAGTGCTCTATCTCACCTCCTCTCTGTTCGAATCTATGCATTATCTTCCAGTAGTGATAGTGACCTCTCCTTTACACAGGTATCCTACAGCTGCTTGAAAGAGAATTATGCTGCTTGCAGAATGAGAGATAAAAATTAAGGTCTTAACATTCGTTTAGAAAGCTGCCAGTCTCTTGTTCCCTGAAGGCAGTAGGCTATTTCACAAAGCTTTCAGTGATATTATGAGGAGGTCACTGCATGAAATGAGATCCACGTGCTGCTCGCTCACCCCTCCCCCGGCGGGATGGGGAGGAGAACGGAAAAACAACGGCAAAGCCTCGAGGGTTGGGATAAGGACAGGTTACTGGGTTTATCGATCCAACGACCTACCGGACGCTCAGCCGCTCCCGGAGCCCCACCGAGCCCAGCCACACCGAGCCCGCCCCTGCCCGACTAGCCCCCTTTTATGGTGAGCATAACGTCACATGGCATGGAATAGCCCCCCGGCCAGCTTGGGTCACCTGTCCTGGCTCCTTGTGAAATTAACTCTATCCTTGCCAGAACCAGGACAGAACTTTTGTTTGCACGTAGTGTATATAAATGAATTCCCTGGTTTGTTTTTTTGAATCTTCCATCAAAAGCAAACTTTCTGATCCTATAGTTCTAGAAATTGCTACCAGTTTGGAAAAAGAGCTCATGTTCTGCTGTGGAAATCCCCAGGCTTTGCAGCAGAGCCAGCAGATTTCACGTTGATGGAAAACTTTATCTGTAACCCCAAAACGCGTCATTCCAAGCCAGTAGTATTGGCACAGCCCTGACCAGGTATGGTGTTCAGATAACCAGGTGAGAGAGGAAGAGGGGGCATTTAGGCAGAATCAGCCTGGGGCAGAGCTGGCTGTGGGACTTCCCAGATAGCCTCGTGGCCAGTGCACATTCTGTGCTCTGAGCTTTCCTGCTGCCGAATTTGTGCTAGCCCCAAAGTCTTTTGTCCCCTGGTTTTTGGAACAGCAAAGCAAAGCAGCAGATAGTATTGTTTGAGATAAATGATCAGTAAAGAGAGGGAGGAAAACAAAGAAAACATTTATTTTAATCACAAAGTAGAAAATGCCTGTGGCATGTGCTACGTTTGTATTTATCAGTGTTCAGATTTATTACCTCCTCATTCACAAGATCTAGAAATACATAATTCAGGAGTAAAAAGTAAATTTTCCATTTTTACAGCAATACAATAAATGAAGAACGGGAAAAAATGCTTTGAAGACCTCAGCTTATTTTTAGGGAGAAGAACAGTTCCTAATTAATCTTATATTGCCATTTCATCCTTACCATGTGAGATTGCACATAAGCATGATTTTTCATGGATTTGCGTTAAGCTGTTTAAGAGCACAGGGTACCATTACTTGGTACCTGCAGACAGCTTGGTGTGAGTATTTTTAAGGTAAGAATTTCCTGATAGTTTTTACCGTATTAAGCACATGCATCATAAGTTCTTGAATTTGGAATAGGTCTGTTTTATTCTTGCTGCTTTTGGGCAGAAGAGCATTTTTTCTGCATGACCCAACACTATTCCTCTTTGTTCCCTCTGATCTAGAGGCCTAGCATCTTGCTGTTAAAAGTGTTTCGCATCATTTTTGGTCTCTAATGTCTAATTAACCATGTTCTGAAAAGCTGATTGAGAAAATGTCACACATAAGGAAGTCAGTTAAATTTAATCACTTCCAGTGTGTAGGCATTGCCAGATGTAGTGTAATAAACTCAACGGACTGTTGCTGCTGCTAATTTACTAAGGAGATTTACTTTCTTAAACTCTTTAGATGCGAACACAAAATGCTATTTTAGACTCCGATCTCTAAGAACAGCTGAGTGAAATTTTTTTCTGTAGTTTAGTATCTGTGGATAGAGTGGGTTTTTTTAATTGCTTTATGGAAGAACAAGGTTAGCTGCAGATGTTTTGAACAGTGACAACAAGCAAATGCTGCCATATTCAAAAGCATTAACTGGAGCTTATTAACTGGATCTGCAGCCCAGGGTTAGGTTTATACTGAGAGTAGTGTTCAAAGCACCTTCACTGGCTAAACTGAGAAACGGAAAAGATTTGGTCTGAAGTCCTCTGGTTCAGCCCACTTTCTTTCTGCTTTCTTCCTGGGAAAATGAATAACGCCTGCTCGAGTGCAGAAAAGACATCAGCGGCGGTGTAGGGCAGAGAGAGATCAAGCTTATTAAATTAATCATATTTGAATAATCTTCTGCTACCCTCGACAGGGGTGCGGGGGAACGGGGTTGTTCTTAAAGCCGGGGGAAGCTGCGCTGTCCGAAGCCG